TTGTGATAGACGGCGTTCAGTCGTCCAGTGTGCAAGCGCTACTTGGCGAGTACAATCGCAAGTATTCCAGCATGTGGGAGGCAACAGGCTCGCCTCATCATCGCATTGCTCGCGTGCAGCCAGCTATCCCCCTTCCATCAGTTGAAGCAGCGCAGGCTATAAGCAAGTCTTATTCTACCAAGTCTGCGGTCAGTTTGGATGGATTTCACCGTCGTCATCTGTCGCGTCTTACTGGCGAGGGAGTGCAGACTTTCATTTATCTCTTGGGTATCTCGGAGTGTTTGGGGCAATTACCACCGCAGCTTCAATGGGTTCTTATGGCGCTACTCCCCAAGGCCTCCAAAGGGTACCGTACTATTGGCATATTCAGTATGTTTTATCGGGTCTCTGGGCGCATCAGGCTCCCGTATGCAAGGTCTTGGATGGACCAGTTCGATCACCCTTGGTTCAGTTGTGGCCCTGGGAGGTCACCCATGGATGTGGTCTGGAGGCAAAGTCTGAGGAGTGAAGCAACTAAGGCTTCAGGAGAAGCCGCAGTAGGCCTCTTTTGGGGCCTGGCTTCTTTCTATGAGAGGCTCGTGAGAGCCAGGTTGCATGACAGAGGCCTAGAATTTCGGATTCAGTCCTACTCTTATGCAGTTCCACCTTGCCGCGTATGGTTCTGCTAGGTTCGTGGGATACAAACGAGCAGTCAGCAGGCCTCTCTGTGCTTTTCGCGGCATTGTGGCAGGCTGCTCCTTTGCCATCGTCTATGTTCGCATTTATTGCTTCCAGGGGTTCCTCAGAATCGCCTCATTGAATGCGACAGTCTACTTCGACTTTTACCTAGACGATTTCTCGTTCACGGCGTTTGGCTTGAGCATGGACGTTCTCAGGTGGCTCGTCACTGCCGCCAAGCAGCTAGCGAGGATGATCAAAGAGGATCTAGACGCTACGCTCTCTGTCGACAAGTGCTCGCTCGTTTCCTCCTCGGTGGCGCTGGGCAGGAACATCTTGAAGGCTTTAGGCTCTTGGGAAGGGAAGTACAATCAGTCTACTACAAATTTGGGGTCTGACTTTCGTGCAGGCAAATCGGCATCCCTCACCAACGAATCCAAAAGAGCCAAAAGGATGCGCAAGGTCCGAGTTCGCGCCGCTAGATTGCGGCAGCTTGTCAGAGTTGCTGGACAAGGGGCTCGGACAATTGTCACCTGTGGTCTTCTGCCTGCGGGGGCTTGCGCGTCTGAAATAGAAGGGCTCCCAAACAATTATTTAGAGCAGCTACGCAGCATTGAGTCGTCAGCAACGGGGCCCAAATGCAAAGGTAAAAGCAGAGCTGTGACTTTTGCGTTGTACGGGTGTAAGTCTGACAAGTGGGCTCTTGGGCCAGTTACCAGGTGGGCTCAGGAAGTTTGGGCGGCCAGTATTGGGAAGGCTGCCCCGATGGGCACTATTGGGCTTCTGCAGTTGAAAGCTTTTTGGGATCAAGTTGCTCCGCAGTCGGGGCTTAAGTACAGTCAGGTTCGCGGTCCGATTACGGCAGCAGTTCATGCATTCGATAGGATCGGCTGGAAATTTCAAGGACCCTTCGTGCTAGTCACGCACGAGGACAAGGCATTCTCGTTCGCGGATCTCTCGCCAAAGCTGGTAGAGCACTGGCTGCTGGACGCCTGCGCCAGGAGCTGGGAAATTAAAGCTGCACGCAGCCTCAGCCACATCGAGCCCACACCCAGAGTTTGTTTCGACATGGTCAGGAGGGTTCTCGGTGGAGGTGTAGGAATGATAGGTAGAAAACCAGCCAGGGATCCAGATGAAGATGAAGTTCCACAAGTCAAATTATCCTCGGGACAGATAGCCCTACTCAGGGCCGTCATATGTCAAGGTTATTGGACAACCAGTAGGGCAGCTGCTGCAGGATACTCCACAGAGGACCAGTGTGCACTTTGCGGAGGCTCAGGCGACACGCTCGTGCACCGCCTGTTCTTCTGCCAGGCTGAGGAGGCTGTCGAACTGAGAACGAAACTGATTCACCCTGACCTGCTAGCTAAGAGCGTAGAATCAGCTGATAGGTCGTTGGTTTACCAGTTAGGCATCCTTCCTCACCCCTCCTCCGACCCTGATGGGTTCCCTTCGCCAGCAAGCGAATTTGTCATGGAAATCCGTCAAGTAGGCCGTGAAGCGTATTTAGGCACGCATTGCACCTGTAAAGTGGGCCCGCTCACAGGGTCTGATGGCACGTGCACGCGCTCTGGCATTAAAAGTCCTGACAGAGCCGCCTGGGCGGTGGGAGGATTTACGGCCGACGGGGAACTCGAAGTGGTTGTGTCGGGGCCAGTCGTTTTCCCTCTTCCTCAAACACCGCAGGCGGCAGAACATTTGGGATTCTTAGTTTTGCAGCAGATCTTGACAGAAAAAGCGCAGGCTTTCGTTGATTGTAAATCAGTTCTCGACAGCTATCACAAGCCTCTCGCCGCGCGATTGTCTTATAGGAGCATGTGCGCAGGCACTTTTCGCACGGCTCTAGGCAGTGACAGTAGCAAGCTCCTTTCTTCGGCGGTGAAAGTTAAAGCACATCAGAGCGAGGACTCGGTGGCGGCAGGGGATCTCGCGCCTTTTCGCATCAACCAGCAGTGCGATTTGTCCGCCAAGGCGGCCCTCCAGTTACATCCGTCGTTGGACCCGTCGTCTGAGTCGTCGTTGCGAGTCAAGATGGAGGATGCCGCCAATATTCTTCTTTTCATCCCTCGCATGTTTCAGGCATGGCCGAAGCACTTGCGAGGGCAGAGAACACCAGGCAAGCAGGATCATCGAATTCAGCTCTCGCTTGTACACGACTGGCAACGAGCCCAGCATGTTCCTTGGCGCTGTGCAGGATGTTTTACGTTCTCGCATTCGGATGATGCGGTTTCCAAGCGCCAAACCGAGCAGTGCACCCCTTTCTCAGGTGAGTTTAGGTCACGCTTACAGCTGGTGCACCCTTCTCACGCCCTCTCGGCAGCCACATGCCCAGATGGCCTCATTGTTTTCTGTGTCAGTTGTGGGATGCACACGACTTTCGTTGTTAAGGGTTTGCTGGCAGAGTGCCTCGGTCCACCGAAGAGTGGCAAGAGATTCACAGTCCGCAAGCGGCTTCTGTCTGGCCTTCATCCAGTTGACGGCATGCCTTTGAACGAGATTGAGCAGTTTAAGGCATTACAGAGGAGTCAGCAGCCCAGGAAAGCCCCAGATACATAGGCTGGGGTCATCGGCGCTAGCCACGTCAGAAGGCGATCCCTTCTGCCCTCGAGCGAAAAATGATTCTCCTCTTCCCTCCTCCTCCTCCTCCTCCTCCTCCTCCTCCTCCTCCTTCTCCCCTTACCTCCTCCCCCTCCTCTTTCTCCAGCTGCTGCTGCTCTTGCTGCTCCTCTTCCTTCTCCTCCCTCTCCTCCTCCTCTTTTCTCCTCCTCGTCCTCCTCCTCTTCCTGCTTCATCCTCTACTCCTCTTCCGTCCTTCTCCTTTTTCATTATCTTCTTTCTTCCTCCATCTCCATCCCTTACCCCCCATAAAGCAAACTCCTCCCTCTTGCACCCCCCGACGTGTTGGTGGGGCGGGCTCGTTGCAGCAGCTTCAAGGATGAAGGGCGGTTTCTTCTCAACATGTGGTTCTCGCCGTAGCACCGCGCACAGTTGCCGTAAAACTGCGCAACAGCTTCAATGACGGAGGGCGGTTCCGTTTCAACATGTGGCTCTTGTTTTCGTGTCGCGCGCATTTGTTTTAAAAGCCTGAAGGCGTTTTAAATATTCGTAAGGGTATGGTCCCGGAGATGGTGTTCCGATGCGATGTAGGATTGCCACGACGTAGCAGTAACGTTGAGTCGCGGCGTTGACGTCCCAAGACTTGTGTCCTGTTAGGATTTTCATGGCGCGACAGTCACGTCGATTCGCGGATTGCAGTCCCAGCAATGTTGTTCTCGCACGGTTGTAGAATATTTGACGAATGTTCTGCAATGGCCAGGTCCTGCATTGACAACAATGTCCTATACTGGGCTATGAAGGGGGAATCTGGAGGGAGGGTGTATCGCAACACCGTTGATGCGTTTTGCGTTTGCACTGATCCTTCTCCTCCTCCTCCTCCTCCTCCTCCTCCTCGTCCGACTCATCATCATCCTCTTTCTCCTCATTTTCCTTCTCCTCATCCTCATCTTCCTTCTCCTCATCCTCATCCTCCTTCTCATCCTCCTCTCCTCCCTCTCCTCCTCCTCGTCCCCCTCCTGCTCCTCCTCTTCCTCCTCCTCCTACTCTTCCCTCTCGTCGTCCTCCTCCTCCTCCTCGTTTTCCTCTTCTCCTCCTGCTCCTCATCCTCCTCTTCCCTCCTTATCCTCCTCGTCCGCGCTCCTCGTCTCCGTCGTCGTCGTCGTCGTCGTCGTTTTCGACGTCGTCGTGGTCGTGGTGCGTGTTGCTACGCTCGGGACTTGTTTCCCCCCCGCATTGACCACCACTACCCCTCTTCTTCTCTTACTGGTGCAGGCCCCAGGGACTCCCTCCTTCGCTGCGTGAGGTTTGGGGCGGGTCTGGCCTGCGAGTCGACCGCCCGCCAACACGGGGGGTGCTGGAGAAGAGGGAGCAGCAGCAAGATGCGAAGGGGGGAGGGTAAACGTGGAGGATGGACGCTTTGCGCAGCAAGAACGGCATTCGATAAGTTGATTCGCCATCGGGAACGCCTTTCTCAGAGCGGCTGGAACGTGTGTCCCCGATGGCGGCTATTCTAGGTTCAGTGTTCACGACGGTCGTTGAAAGTATGTTTCTCTGGATTCCCAGTTCCGAATCTACTTTAGCCGCCTTCCTACTTCAAGAGTCGAGTGATTTTCCCCCTTCCCTCCTCTTCAGGAGGTGGGCGGAAACCCAATCTACGTCCAACGCCTTCCTACTTCATAGTTCTACCTACTTCTTCCGACCGACGGGTATCATTTTTCGCCCGCTCAAAAGACTGCGGGAAAGGAAGGGGGGGTGTTGCCAACGAGCATGCCGCACCGTCGCCAGAGGTCCTGGAGAGCTGCATTGGCCCCGAGGAGCAGTTTCAGCTGGTGGTGGTCCAGGAAGAGACCAGCTGCGCGCTGCACCAGGGGGTCAGCAGGGCCGCCCAGGAGCCCCTGCAGGGCTCATTCCGATTCCTCCGATTCGATTCGTTTCGATTTCGATGGTCTCCGATTCCGATTCGATTCGACTTCTTGTTCCGATTTGGATTCCGATTCCTCGATGGAGGCCTAGTGGTCTGCCGATTCCTGCCGATTCGACTTCTTCCGACGTGGCTGTCGATTTCCGCCGATCCGATTCAGTTCGATCGCCGATCCGACCTGTCGATTCGATCCTGGGCTCCCCTGCCCCTGCCCAGCTCAGCCCTTGCACGCGGGCCCGAGCTGCTGCCCGCTGCTGCTCGAGGCGACGGTCCTCCGCGAGGCCTGCCGCCGCAGACCTCGGCTTCCGTGCCCTTTCGGTCACATCCTGGGCCACCCTCGGCACCTCCACCCTGCTGCGCAAGCCTGTGCTCCGGCACGTACGCCTCCTCCTCCTCCTCCTCCTCCTCCTCCTCCTCTTCCTCCCTCCTCCTCCTTTTGCTTATCCTCCTCCTTTTGCTTCTCCTCCTCCTCCTCCTCCTCCTCCTCCTCCTCCTTTTGCTTCTCCTCCTCGTCCTCCTCCTCGTCCTCCTCCTCCTCTGCTCTGAGCGTGCTCCGCCGTCTGGGGCTCCGCCCCCCCCCCGCTCGCGCTAGAGCTCGGGTGTGGTGTCCAGTGTCGTCCCTGGTGGAGCGCGGCACGCCAAGCCGAGCACGCGTTATTTCACATTCTGGAGAGGCAGAGAGTCTTCGGCACTTGTGTAGATATGGCTGTCATTAAAACACAGATTCTAGTCTTCCCAAGATCTTGTCTCTCTGCGCCCAGAACACCATATAGCCTGGAGTCCAAAGCGTTCAAACTGAGTTTTTGGATGCACGTGCGTGCAAGCAATACTTGAAGGCGAGCGTGATGTGCGTGTTGGACGGCAGCAGCGCTGGGCACTGTGCGCGTATACGTGCAGTTGTCACGAGCGTGTCCACGCATGGGCATTTACCAAGCAGTGCTTGTACTGACGGTCTCCGGCGAGAGGTTCGCGCCGCGTTGATGCTGCGGCGACCCCAGCGCGGGCGTATAAGGCTGAACGCCGCGGGCCAAGGCTACCTGGCGTTCGAACGAGGGCCGACGGCGGTGCGACTCGTGACCGCGCCCACTCCCAACAAAGATGCTCCGCGTGAGGTCCTCTCCGTGCAGATTTGCACATATTGTAACGGCTTCTGCTGCGTCCACATACAGTGGTCGCGCGATTGGTTTGTTGATTGAGCCGCACAGTGCGATTTGGTTTTAGCTGCAGGATTTTCCGATAGCAGGCTATAGGGTCTCGGGTCCCGCTTGCCTTAGCTGTTGTGATTTTCATGCTGCCGCCCATCGTGTCCCGGGTCAGCCTCTCCTTGGCTGTTACGACTGTCTGGGCGCTGCCTGTAGGGTTCCAAGTCCCGCTCGCCCTGGCGGTCGCAAGTCCCTGTCGCTGCACATGACCTCCCGAGTTCCGCTTGCTTTTGCTGATGCGATTTTTGATCGCCGCCCGGAAGGTCGTGGATCACAGCTGCCCTGGCTGTAACCAGTTTCTGGTCCCGTGCGGCCCCGCCACGTTTGCACATACTTTTCCCAACCATCTTGTGGTGTTTAGTTTTCGTTTTGACTCCGCAGCGCCCCGCGAAACGCCTTCCTCCTTTCTTCTTTCTCCCTTCACTCCCCTTTTCCTCTCGTCGCCATCGTCATCGTCGCAACCATCATCATCATCATCATCATCATCATCATCATCATCATCATCATCATCATCATCATCACCATCACCATCACCATCACCATCATCATCATTATCAGCAGCAGCATCAGCAGTATCATCAGCACTCAGCATCATCAACAGCATCATCATCAGCATCATCAGCAACATCAGCCGCAGCATCGGCGTCAGCATAATCATACTCAGCATCAGCATTGACGTGAGCATCATCATCGGCATCATCATCGCCAGCATCATCAGCAGCAACCGCATCATCATCATCGTCATCATCATCAGCAGCATCGTCATCCGTAGCCATTTTGGCTCAAGGCCATATCGGGAACTCAACCCCCCGTCTCAAGTGGCCAGCGCCCGCCGCGCGCGTGAGTGACCCTGGAGAGGCCCCAAGGACCGGGGCCACCGCATTTATTTTGCATATCAACCACACGCATTTTGCCTCTGTGTATCGTACCCGTCAAGGTGCGCAGCTCTCCATCGGCGCAATGGCTCTCGACCCAGCGGCTCTTCGGATCATGCTGAATGAGACTCTTCGGCCGCTAAATGCCCAGATGGATTCGATGAGCGCAACGCTCGCTGGCAACCTGACGGCTATCAAAGAGATGGATGGACGGCTCTCTGCAGGGGCACAGCAGAACACAGCCACCATCAACTCCATGAAGGATGACATCCAGGCTCACAGCGTACGCATGGACGAGCTGGAGCTCAAACTGCAGAGACAGCAGCAGGGAGCAGATACGGAGATGGAGCAGGTCGATGTGATGGCAAGTACATGTTCGGCGACAGCGAGATTGCAAAGTCTCGAGGCCAGCTTCGCGGAGATGCAGCGCAAAATGGACCAGCCACCCTCTGACCCATGGGCCGCCGTACGTGGCTCGGCATCGAGTCGCTCGAGTGTTCCACCATCCACGACGCCATCCACGGTGCGACCTACAGTGCCTGCTGACAAGACGAAGATATGGATTCGTGGATTTCCAAAGAAGCAACGGAAGAATGTATTCGAACGACATTTTGCGATCCTCAAAATCAATATTATGCCGCAGGAGTATCGCGATACATGTGTACCACACTGTCAGAGCTTACGTTTCGCATATGCTATTTAGTTTGAATCGCAGGAGCACGCAAAGTCTTTCTACTAGCGGGCTCGAGACCACCCTATCCAGTTCACCCAGGCCTCAACTGGCACACAGCATGACCTGAGCATCGGCTTCGAGGAGCCATATGACATTCAGAAGAAGGGCTACATCCTTGGGCTCATCTGGAAGCAGATCTGCGCTTACATTCGCACGAACGGCTGCTGGACATCCACGATAGCGCTCGCCTGCAACAAGTATCAGGGCCTATGCTACACCACCGTGCGCGACGAGCCGATTGATTTGGTGATGCTCTCGTCATGGACGGAATCGGAGGTGGTGGTCGAGACATGCGCCCAGGAATTGTGCAACTTCGGCTTCACAGGGCAGCAGGCCCAGGACTTGCCAGCCGCGGTCAACAGCGCCTACCACGAGTGGGAAGTAGGCGCGCCATGTTCTGTTGAAGATGCCGATGCTGCCGCATCTGGTTTTGCCTATACTGCTGATACTCCCTCTCGCGCCTCCGCCCTCGCTCGCAGCCTTGGGAAGCGATTTAAGTGCAGCTCTCCTCCTCCACCCCCCTCGGGCAGCAGTGCAGACATTCTCATTGAATGCCCGTGGCAGATTAAGCAGCACCTGGCGATGAGCACATGGAATTCAAGAGCCTTCTTTGGAATTGTGTATGGCGATCACATACGGCAGAGAAATCGGATTCGCAAGTTCCGCACTCTTATCAAAGCACATACCATTATACTCAAGCGAGTAACACATGGAACATCTGCTGACCTCGAGACCCTGCGCAGGGATTATCCCATGCACACGCACTTCGGCACGTTTTGTGTGACCCGAATGCGGGTGGAGCTACGATCAGCGTGGCCAACTCTTTCCTTGTCAACTTCACGAATGTGGAGCATTGCGAGCATGTGCGCGGCCGTCTTCTCACTCTTTCTCTCCAAGGACCTCAGGGCGACCTCGAAGTGTACAATGTCCACCTCGACCCCACTTTCAACGATGCAGAGAAGTTTTCTGTTCTCGAGAAAATCGCTGAGACCCCCCCTCGCAGCAATTTGTGTTTGACGTTCCTTGCAGGCGATTTTAACTTCCTAGAATCAGAGGAGACCCGAATCAGGACTGACGGTGGGTAGCAGCGTCCTGAACGCCCTGCTCTCCCACGGCGCTTTCGCGAGCTTTTCCCGAGCGCGCTCGAGCTGGCGCAAGACGGGCCCACGCATAGGACAGGGGACCTTGGGGAAGGTATTCAGTCTCTGGGACGTATTGATCGCAGATATACTTTTGCTGCCGCGGCGACTGTTTTGGAGGCCAAGCCCACTGCTGGAATCATTGGGCACGTCTTGAAAGCTGGTGAGCCGAGTGATCATGTTCCTGTTTTCGTTTGTTTTTTTCTCCAGGGCTTCGGTCCCAGGCCAGTATACCATCGTGGGTGACCGCTCACTCCGAATTTGCACAGCTGGTGGATGAAGCTCGGGCCCAAATTGACCTCTCCACGGACCCCCTCTTCGCGCTAGAAGAGATCAAAGAGTGCATGCACATAGCGACTGCGGAGATCAAGTCACGCATTTACCGATATGGTGTACAAACGGATACTCATCGTCTAATGGCACGTTTAAAATGCGTGCGTGCCAGTGCGAACGGTCGACGCCACACCATTCCTAAGTGCGCACGCGGATGCGACCAAATTGCGCAGTTCACAGATGAGCAGCACGAGCACATCATAGATCAGGCGAGGTTCCACGAGCACATCCGTATCATACAAGAGCGCATCCTGGTTCCCAAGCTCCGCGAGCACGAGCAGTCCCCAGAGTACCAGCACGACGACGAGCGCGCAGTCAAGCTGCGCAAACTTTGGAAGGCCTGGCCTCCCAAGCACCGGCGCATTTCGCTCGTGGGCGCCCTGGACAACCAAGGGCGCGCGCCCACCAGTTTAGAGGGCAGCGCCGCCCGACTTGCTGAACACTGGGGCCGCGTGCATACCGCCGCTGATGCGCCGAACGTGCCCCCGCACTTTTCAGAGATGCTGCCGGCGCACTGCCAGAAGGTTTCTCCTGGAATCAATTGGATTGTTCCGCTCTCTGACATGCTCGGCTTTCTTCATCGCAAGAAAGACGCCGCAGCAGGTCCCGATGGCATCCCGTACTCAGGCTGGGCAAAGTGTAGCATCGAGCGCAAAGGGATCTTATGCCAATCATATTTGAGTTTTATGTCTGGACGCCCTCTTCCTGGAGGCTTCAACCATGGGGCCACGGTCTTCCTGGCCAAAAATCTCGAGGGCGACTCCCCGAGGGGCGCGCAGAGACAAGAAGAGGAGACCCGACCATTATTTTTGGGCAATACTGAAAATAAAACATTCGCCTCGTTGCCGAGTATTCCCTTTGGACAACGGGCTCAGTTTTCTATTCGCAGAAACCAGACTGGGTTTATCAAAGGCAGGAGTATGCTAGACAACATAATGATGATAGAGTCGGACTTTCTGGAGCACCCAGTGTTTCAAGGGGCCGATCGAGCTCGCCTCTTTTTGCTTGACTTTGCCGCTGCTTTCCCGAGCTTAGCGCATGCATGGATCCTGACAGTACTACAACATATGCTTATCCCTGAATATATCGGGATGTTTACACAAGTATCAGACTAGGAGGAGGCACATTCAGAGGCTACCATATCACACGCGGTATCAAGCAGGGATGTCCGTTATCTGGCGTACGATATGCTTTAGCTGCTGATCCTATTTTCAGGTGCAGGTACTCAGCTATGACTCCCCTGGCTCGCCCGTTTGCATTCGCGGACGACGTTGGCATTGTTTCTTGCGACCTTGTCCGCACGCCCCCCATCGTGCTGAGATTGCTCTCGCAGGCCGCGTTGGTGACGGGCCTGGTCTTGCACCCAGGTAAGTGCTCGCTGGTATCTGTGCCATACTCCAGAAGAGATGTGTATGAGATATTTAGTGGATCTGGCATTAAAACTAGGCCGTGTCGGGTCGAGACCTCTGGCAAGTACCTGGGAGTTTACATCGGCCCGACGGGGCCCACGGTGTCGCGGGACGCTCCTGGAACCAAATGCATCAAGCGAGTCTGGCACATCAAAGGTCTTTCCCTCGGACTATATCAGAATATCATTGCGTACAACTCGCTGGCCTTCTCCGTGCTTAGCTTTGTGGGCCAGCTGTGCCAGGCTCCACCGGCAGTCTTGAAAAAAGAGATAGAAGCCCGCCAGCTTCTTGCATCCGCTCCCAGGCACTCCATTCCAGCCGATATTATGAGGCCCCCGTCGGTGCTCTGTTTTCCCCATGATCCCAGAGACCTCCAGAGGAGTCCAGAGCCAGTACGTATCGGGTTGCCCTGAAATCCCAATGGTTCTCCGAAGTGCGAGGAAGGTTTGCTTGGCTGGAGGGCGAGGAGATTGATCGACTAGCAGTTCTACGTCACACAGAGTGGTACGAGTCCAGTATATGTTACTCACTGATTACCAACTACAACCAGCTGACTGCTATTCCCATGATGATAGATGACCCCGACACTGACATGCTTCAGAAAAAAAGTGAATACCCTTCTGAGCCGTAGGCAGGCACCAATCTTTGCCAATTTAGCCCCCCCCCCCCCCTCGTATCAGACATTTTGACAACACTGCCCAGCTTCCCAGGGCTGATTTAATTGTGATGCGCATCAAGCTTGCTAACGCTAAACTTGCCCCATGTGTGGGCGCTGCTGTATTGAAAGGAGTCTGTAATTCTTGGGCCACCAGTGCCAGGTATCGACAGGGGCGGAATGCTTGTCTGTTCGGGTGCAGAGCGTGTGGGTGAGACCAGATCCTCCACTATTTTGATTGCCCTTGTGCCCTCGAGCCACTCTGTCTTGTTCTGCCCCATCTTCCCGCTGACTTCCTCTCCTGGACGGCGCAGGACCGCTTGCTGCTTCAGAGTCATACTACGCACTCCTCTCCCACCTTGTACCCCACCATGCTTGCTCACGATCTTTTATTCAGCACGTTCAATTCTCTCAGGAGTATGAAACGGTTCGGCCCTGAGTGCACACTCGCCTTTGACAAAGCTCGTGCGAGGGCTATCTCGAAGCGGAAACCTCACATTCGAGCTCTGTTTCAGCGTTGACGTGAGATCCTGGGGATCTGGAGCTTGAAGGGGCTGCGCCATCATCAGCAGCATCGTCACCATAATCATCATCATTGTCATCAGCATTAGCATCCGCATCAGCATCATCATCGCACTCCTACTCATTCTCAGCATCATCATCATGATCATCCTCATCGTCACCATCATCATCGTCATCATCATCACAATCATCGTCATCATCATCAATATCATCATCATCAACATCATCTTTATCAACATCATCATCATCGTCATCTGCCCCAGCGTTGCCACCATCATCGCCAACATTATCATCAACAATATCAGCAGCATCCTCATCATCATCCTCAGCATCATCATCATCATCCTCATAGCCACTTTGGCTCTAGCATTTGCTGGCGCGGTGGCTTCCATCCTGCACCTGCGGGTCGCGCTGCCATGCCCTGCCTGGCGCGCGTCGACTGGATTCGGAGGCAGCTCGGGTCTGGAAGGGTAGTGCACATCGCCTTCGGCCTTGCTGCGGACGCCTCGAAGGCCAAGGTGAAGGTCGTGGTGGCGCCTGCCGCTGCGGATGCACCTCCGCCTGCCGCTCTTCTTGCTGCGCTGGGTCCTACCCTTGACCTTCTCCGGCAGCTTGTGGGAGCCTCGGTTGCCACTGATCGGGGGCACCGGCATTCCGACGGGCGTTCGGTCGTGCAGTTCTGGGTCAACCGAGCGGGTCGCGACCGTCCTCGCTTCGGCGGCGCCGGCGGCGGTCCTGGCGGTCATGATGATGATCTCGATGGAGGGCAGGATAGCTCGCATCGTCCAGGACGTCGTGGTCGTGACGCTGCCTCGCAGGACCCCTGGCGTGGCCCTGGAGGGTGCGACCCATGGGCATCTGTGCCTGGTGGCGGCGATGTCGGCCCAGAGCCCAAAGTACGTCGGCGACGTGGGCCTGCCGTTCGTGCTCCTGGTTTTGCTGCTGATGAGCGTTCTCTCGATGCGGATGGTCGGGGACACAGTCCTGGTCGCTTGTCCTGGCCTGTCGGCGTTCCTGCTGTATGGGTCCCTTTGCCCGCGCTTCAGGATCTCCTTCAACGCCGTGCTCATGTTGTTTACCCTGGCGGCGCGGGAGATGCACCGACGTCGCTTCCGATAGTGCCCGACTTCCCGACGCTGGAAGTGCCTGCTGGTGCGAGGGCCGTGGAACGCAGCGTGGTTCGACACTTCGTGGCGAGCTACATTGGTGAGTTGGCTTTTCGATGTACTTTGGTCTCTGAGCGTCGGCACGTGAAGGCGCATGTTCATAGGCTCCTCGATGGCTGTCTCATCATGCTCAGCGCGAGAGTTGAATGTCTCGAGCGGCTGGCAGACAATATCAACCAGCTCGAGCAGAGTATGCTTCGTCTCCAGACCCACCTCAACATTTGTTTGACTGGAGTCACAATTGCTGAGCTCTCGTGCTAGTCCTGAATGCCTTCGTCGCCGCCAAGGGCCTCATCGTGGTGCTCTTCTGCGTCGTCTTTTTCGGCAGCGGGGCCATGTACTTCATGCGCCTCCTGTGCTTCCTAGGTGCCTATGCCTTCGTCGCACCAAGGGCTCCATCGCGGCGCTCTTCTGCGTCGTCTTTTTCGGCGGCGGGGCCATGTGCATCGTGCGCCTCCTGTGCTTCCTTGCTGCCAATGCCTTCGTCTCCAAGGGCCTCATCGTGGTGCTCTTCCGCGTCGTCTTCTTCGGCAGCGGGGCCATGTACATCATGCGCCTCCTGTGCTTCCTGGGTGCCTGTGCCTTCGTCGCACCGAGGGTTTCCTGTTCGCCTGCCTCTCCCTCTTTGTCGCCCTCGGCCTGGGTCGTCTTCGTCCTCAGCGTGGCCGAGCGCAGGGGAGACGCCCTGGGCCCCACCCTGGATGGATTGTGAACCGATGCTGCGGCGGAGGAAAAAAAGAAAGACACAAATCATCATCATCGTCCTCATCCTCAGCATCATCATTATCAGCATCATCAGCATCATCATCAGCATCATCATCTGCCCTAGCGTTGCCACCATCATCACCAACATTATCATCATCATGATGATCATTTTCATCGGCAGCATCAACATCTGCATCATCATCACCGAGCGAAGGACAAGGGCACCCAACGGTATGCTTCGAACAAACCTGTAGCGTGTATGTGGCGGCGCGCCTCTGCAGGAGCATGACTTTCGCAGCGAGGCCGTGGATATCAACGACGACCTCTCCGCAACCGACCTAAGTCACATTTCTGTGACGAAGGACGGCGCTCCGCTTGCGTGTGGGAGGGGGGGCCGGGCGGGCCCAGGATGCGGACAAGTCGTTCTGGAACGCTCCGGAGTGGCCGCGGCGCCCGATGCACCCTCCAGGATCTCAGGGACCCCCGATGTGTCTCAGTCCGATTTGTCCGGGTCCTGGCTCCGTCTTGGGGTAAGTTATGGGCCGACGTGTGCGAAGTAAAGGGCTCAAGGAACCATCCGTACCCGTTGTGTGGAGCATCACCGTTCTCGCACAGATGTGTCGTCTTCGGCAGTGGTCCCTGCCCCCATTCTCGAGCAGTTGTGGGGGTTCGTGCCCCCGTGTTTTGCTTTCCCTCGCTCGGTGTGCCCACGTCGTGAGACTCCTCTTCGGCCGCCTCCCTCCAGCCAGGGCAACGCCCAGAGAGTGGTCGCCGGGGTTGATTGGCGGTTGCAACGAGCCCCGCCCCTGGAGGTCACGCACTTGGGGACCCGCCCCTGGAGGTCACGCACTTGGGAGAGGAGAGTAAGGGAGGGAGGGAGGGGGGGGGGAGGGATGGAGGATAGGATGACGATGGATGAGCGAGGAGCGAGAAGCGGGAGCGAAGGATGCGAAGAGCGAGGAACGAGGAGGGAAGAGGGAGGAGGGAGGAGGGAGGGAGGGAAGGAGGGAGGAGGGAGGAGGGAGGAGGGAGGAGGGAGGAGGGACGGAATGAGGAGGGAGGGGGAGGAGGGGGGAGTGCGGAGGGAGGGAGGGAAGAAAGAGGGAGGAGGGAGGAGGGAGGGAGGG